CATACTATATTATATATACTTGTACGAGTATACCATTTTTTTTGAAACACTAGCTTTTAATGAATCACTACAACCATTCGTGTCTCGGGGAATTACAACTATAATGTTTCAAACTGGTTTCATTTTAGAAATACGCGCAATCTACGGTAGATTTGTGTTGTGATTATATCGCGCGGAAATACACTATTAAAATGTATAATCTATTCAATTCTTAATACAGGTTTTGTTTTCATTCCTGCCTGAACTTATATTACTAAAATATATTGAACAGTTTCGAGCTTACTGGCTTCATTTTATACTCTTTCTTGTATATTCACTGTAGCTTGACGGACTTCAGATTTCCTTGAAATTCTTTTAGTATCTCGGACATGTAAGGATGAGATTTCTTTTAACGTCAAGAACGAGTTATAAGCCGGCAAGAGGATAAGTGTGATTTGCTCGCGTAGGTATTTAAGGTTCATTTGTAATAGAAACTAAATTCACTGTATAATAATAATTTTTTTTCAATTAAATTTATTATAAAATATGAATAGATATTTGAAAGAAAATTAGTACCCAACATAATCGGTCTCCGTCGCATAGTAGGAATCTGTTAAAGGTTTAGGAACATCTAAAGCATGATTTACCAACTTTTTTTTGACCAGGGACCACTTTGATCTTTTTGTATTTAGCTGGGACCACGAGGTGAAAGAAAAACTGCTAATCTAACAATAAATTATAATCACAACATTTGACATAATTATATAATAAACTGAAAAGAAGCATTCATTAACAATTAATTAAGCATTCATTACATACATTTTTTTGTGTATTTCTTGTAAAAGCTATTAGGTACTTGCTAATGTGACGCGCGATGTTGCGTGCCAGGAAAATAATAATAATAAATGTGTTATTTAAAATGATTGGGTAGGTAAAATATTTAAATCTTTCGCGGACCATTTTTAAGCTCTTGTGGACCACTGGCGATCCTCGGACCACCGGTTGGGAATCACTGATCTAAAGGAACCTACGTGTTTACTATAACCATTGCATTATAAAGTAGCAGCTAAAATAGTTTCGATACGTATAAGCTGTAAGCGGAATTCACATACATAATATGTTCTTGAAATATTTTAAATATGGCCGTCATGCAAATTTCGTCACGATGTTTTCGTTTACTGCCGGGAGCGGGGTTTCCAAACACAAGCATTACTTGTTTAAATGGAGACCCCAATCAACTATCTAATTAATTTAATTTGTGTGAAGAAAAATAAATTATTTTATTTTTTATTTTATTATTTTATTTAAATCTCTTTGGTCGCAGGCTTTATAAGAATTAATTGTGTGTTCCTAGCGAGAACCTATTTTTATCGTCAATGAAAAAGACTAGATATCCCATTAGACAAGGTATTATGATGTTTGGGTAGCATAGACATATGTGGCATATTTTGTGGAGTCATTCGAAAACCTCAATAACGCGTTTTAGGTTTTGATTATTGTTCATTTCGTGGGTATCGTTATTTCCCTTTATAACCACTGAAAATATACCACTCAATCAAACTTGATTATTTGAAAGTGCCTGCCTTCTGATGATATTTTAACTTTTTTTCTCTTGCTTGATTTACAAGATTTTACTCCATGTAAGCTAACCATACGCGAGTTTTTATATTTTTATATATTATATAGCAATTTATGGGAATATGAAAGATAGGTTATGTAATAATTATAATTATATATAATAGTTTCATCTGGGGGATGCCATCTATCAGATGAAGTGTCAGATAAAGACCCATCCACTTGTAAACCGGTATCATTCTTAATTTTTTTACGTATTTTTTAAATATAGGGATCGATCATCAAGTAAATTTTTAAGACTGCATGAACGGCATAAGTAAAGTAGCTATTATAATGAAAAAAAAATCATTGAAATTCTTTAAATATTAATTGAAATGCGACTTTCGACTTTGATCGGGTCATTGTCGTTTGTAAAAGAACGACTGCAAGTTTTTACGTGGGGTCAACGAACAGATTTGATCTATCTGTCGGTCAGCGTCATCTCATTACTATAGCCAATTACACAGCGACAGACTATAGTTTTTCCGTTCTGTTAATGTTGACCCCTGAGACGTAATGCTCTAAGCAATTGCTACAGGTTTTTTTAGTTATATTACCCTATATTAATCTCTAATGCGGTACTGGTAGACGTTTCAAAATTGTCCTTATTTAATAATTATTTCTATGTAAAATGTTTATTTATTCATTCCTTTATTTTAATAGGTCTATCAACAGTTATTTTCATTACGAATATCATTCTTACAAATAATCAATTGTAATACTTAGAAATAATCTAGCTAAATACCGTTTCCTTAGAAGTAAAGACAATTAAAGCTTAATTATTAAAAACTGCAAATATATAATTTGAAAATTAAAAATTTTGTACAGCCGAATTCAATATAAGTTATTAAGAATAACTCAAAGAGTATTGGTTTGACCTTAATCAAATTCATATGGGACCACACGAGAAGTATCAGCTTTCATATAAAAAAAGAATCATCGAAATCGGTTCACCCAGTAAAAAGTTATGAGGTAACACACATAAAAAAACATATGGTCGAATTGAGTACCGTCTCCTTTTTGGAAGTCGGCAGAAAAGAGAGAAAATGTTTGTAATTAACAGATAGAACTTAACTTAGTGAGCAATCAGGGCCGCTTAAATGCTTCCAAATTGGTTTCCGGTAAGTATATAAAGTGAAAGGATCTATAAGACGATTTTTTCCACCTTATTCAGACATTACTTGAGGTGAAATTTGCTGATAAATGTACCCCTCAAAATCTAGACAGGCTGGAAGACATAGAGATAGAGAAAGAGATAAATATAGATATAGAGGTGGAGAGAGAGAGAGAGAAAGAGCGAGAGACAGAGATTGGCTCTGCGCTCACTCAGCACGAACAAAACTTTCAACTAATACATGCCAGCTGGCGCATTTATTGAGAGAAGCCTATGTACACCAGTGAGCTTAAAAAGATTGTTTGTGTGATACGCTTACTGCTTACTTACAGGATAATGGCCTGTGTTACCCCGTTTGATTACCAAGCTGTCGTTTTTGAATGCAAATTCTAGCCGGAGACAGCGTTAGTGTAAAAACCAATTCTCGTTCTTTTTTTTGGTTTGAATTCCTGCATATTAACATATTTTTTATTGCTTTCAAGTGTGCTTTTGTTGCATTCTAGTCTACTTGTAGTAGTTCAGACGAGTAAGCGACTCTAGGCCGGTATTCCGAGACAATCTCTTGTCTTTCACTTCACAAAGTCAACATTTTTGTTACTTAATATGGCCTGGACCCAAATTTAGACATCCATATCTTAATAAAAATCAGCCAGGGGAACATCATCTATATCTTCATCTGACAATGCACCGAAATTTTTCTTTGGTTTTATCGCTTATAACCAAGGAAATTAAGTTAATACGTTGTATACTATTGCAGTTGATAACTTACGGACGCAATCTGAAGTCAGTCAATCTGAAGACGAAATCAGCCAGGAGAATATAAGCAGTATTTTTATCTGACTATGCTTCCTTTTATCTAATTGCATAAGAACACCAGGTTAATATGTTCATTCATTCATTGCAGCCTATAAAAGTTTGAACTGCTGAACATAAACCTCTCACGAAGTTTGTCAGGGGTCTAGTTTTTATTAGAAAGATGGTGCCGTCCATCTGCTGATTTGTTTCCCTGTCGCCTCTTGCAGCATCCACGGGACAATATGGGATAGTGAATATTATAATAGAATTAGTCTTTAGTTATAGTAGTAGATAGGTAAAAACAGAGATTTTAAGTTTTTAAACCTAATTCATTTATTGAGATTGAAACTCTTGCTGATACTAAAATATTAGGTTTAAATTTTTTTAATTTATACATAATTGATTATAATTACTAGCAATGCAATAGGCAATAGGATTGTATTTGTGAAAAGCTAATTTTTAAAGCTTTTCTTTAAAACCAAATATTACGTGAGCTAAAAATTTTTTTTTTATAAGATAAGGGTGACAAACGAGCACACAGTCCACCCGATGGTAAGTGGTTGCTGCGGCCCATAGACATCTACATCTATCCTCGTTTGCGAATCAAAATGCAGATGCGTAGTCACCCGTGAGGACTAAGATGGAATGCCTCATTTCCAGTAAAAAGGGCCTCCGGCCACCTGCACTCACCAAGCGAAACGCAGAGGTAAACCTCTACTTCACGTTGGTATTCTGTGAGGTCGTGGTACCATCCCGGTTCGAGCCGGCCCATCCGTGCGACAGCATAAGCCGCCGCGTGGCTCTACCACTGTTAAAAATAAATATAATTTTTTCTTAATATGAAATTGTTAATATTTTCTAAAAGATTAATATATTACATACATAAAATTAAAGAATATTTAGAGTTGTATTTTTGTAGCTCAAGCGACCCGCCTCGGTTTATTTTTTATGACTTGATCGCAAAATACTAACATTTTTTGTCTATTAAACACGAAAATCTTCCTCAAGTAAATTATTTAAATGATGGTGAACCGCATCAAAATTCATGAGGTAGTTTTAATGTTTTTTAAGTGATTACGAATTGGATAAGCAATTTTTTTGCATGTTATTTGAAGTGATTTTAATTTATAGGGTTAGTTAAAAGAAATTAAAAAAAACGTCTTATGTTTAACGGCGGCAGTATTTATTGATAATTTCAATCATTGTTACAAGGTTCTAGTGAATTGCGTTCGCTGGCAAAAGTCACTTTTGTGTAAGATATCAAAAAACAAAAGAACGTACTCGTACTTATGTAAATTAAATTGCACAATCACAAGCACAGACGTTTAAAGTTTAATAGTAGGTAATTGGAGTTACGAGTGTTTAGCACTGGTCTGCGCAAGGTGGCCGGCAGGAACTGAATGCGTGTAGCCAAATACCGGGCTAAGAGGCGCGTCTTGAGAGAGGCCTATATACAGCAGTAGACTGCCTCAGGCTGATGATGATGATTTGTTTAGCTTTATCTACCATGGCCGTATCCGCCACCGTATCCGCCGCCATATCCGCCGCCGAATCCGCCGCCAAATCCGCCGCCGTATCCACCGCCGTATCCGCCGCCGTATCCGCCGCCGTGTCCGCCACCGTATCCGCCACCGTGTCCACCTCCGTATCCGCCGCCGTGTCCACCGCCGTATCCGCCGCCGTGTCCACCGCCGTATCCACCGCCGTGTCCACCGCCAAAACCACCGCCATAGCCTCGTCCTCCCCAACCAGAGTTACCCCATCTTTTTCCGAATCCTCTTGTCTCTTGTGGTTCTAGAGCTTCCGCAACAACGACTGACTTCCCTTCTTCATTCCCTTCCGGTGTAGGCATAGCCCAAGTGTATGTCAAACAAATGCATACTATTAAAGCTAATGACTGCAAAACAACAGAAAAATGACTTGTTATTGAAATACGAAGAATATTTTGTTATTTTAATTTTTATTCAAAATAAGGAATGCGATAATAGACTAAAAAATATTGCACACGAATTTTAAAATGCAACGAAGTCTTAAATAATGCAAGTTTTCAAATAAAAGACAGGTCTTTAATCGTTATACTGTTAATAATTTGTCTAAGTTTAATAAAGTGTAAAAAAGATTTAAGGAACACACAACACATATCGTAAACTTGTCGATGAAACTTACCGTCTTCATCTTGGCAGTATTCGTTGAATAATGATAGCAGTTATTCGACGTAGAGTCCTTTTTATTCCGTAGGTTGTATTTCGTGTCCAAAAAAATTAATAACGATGATTAGGCATGACTGACATGAAATTATTATTATTCGTCAGCTTTAGAATATTCCGATTTGTTTCATTTATTATATTCGACGCCGCTCGGCGGCTCCGTGGCGCAGTGACTTAGCAATGAGTTGATGCGCTGGGGGCCGCGGGTTCGAATCCCGCACGGAACAAGTATTTGTATGGCCTACAAATAATTGTTCCGGGTCTGGATGTTTGTCCTTGTGCAATTTGTGTTTGTTAACTGCCTCCACGATACAGGAGAAAATCCTAGTGTGGGGGTAACGTTTTTAGAACCAGAAAAAAATGTATAAGAAGACTGAAGGTTAAAAATGTTTTTAAATGAGTAAAATTTTGTACGTATGATTTAAGTTTGTCGTACAATGTCACAATAAGAGAATCTCTCACCCCGTTCCTTCCCGTGAGTGTCGTGTACTCGACTCTTATACTCGACTAAAAAAAGTATAAATTTTAATCGGATGTCACTATCGCAATCTTTGAATATTAATATTAAAAGGTCGCAATAGAATAGGTAGGTATAGGCAGTAGAATAGGATGCACGGTGGGTATATTGATTACATTAATAGCAACATTATACAATTGTACATAAAATTATAAAAGAGACTGAAAAAAGGAATTTTTGTTTGCACTGAAGACAAGTGCTTATAACATAATGAACATATTATAAAGTTTAAAGTGATAGTACATACTTTTTTTTTATAGGATAGGGTGACAAACGAGCACATAGTCCACCTGATGATACTTACTGTCATACTTACTTTATAGTTTTTTATGTACTATGTACTTACTTTAAAATTATGTTGATTATATAAGTAGGTAAGATGTGGTTGCAGGGTTTTGTATTATTATTTATTTTTATTGAACACCAAAATACAAGAAAACGAGTAGAGTACAATTTAAAGTATAATGTGTACAATAGGCAGTCTTAGCACTCTGAAAGTGATCTCTTCTAGACAAATTTTGCGTAGAGGACTGATGCAAACGATGGTTTTAATAGAGGGGAGTGTGCAAAAATGCATATAAATATAGCATTCTATATTTATATGTGTTTACGTCAAAATTATATCCAATGTGATTAAAGTATTTAAATGAGAAAAGTACGAAAATAAAGTTATTTATCTAATAGCGTTCTATGTCTAAACTTTTGAAAAAAAAAAGAATAAACTTTTGAAAGTTTGAAGAAATTTAGCACGAATGTGGAGCGGTAAAGAGCTCCATAAACGCACAGCAGTGACAGTAAAAGATTTCTTAAAAAAGTAGGAACAGTGTAAAGGATTAGGGAGAAAAAAATTGACAGAGGATCTTCTTTTAAACAATGAGGATTGGAAGAACAGCATGAACAGTAATCGGGAGGCATGTGAGCTGTTTGCCAAATTCAGAGATGTGATCATATTTGCGGAGCCCAAATATAAATATACTACATACAATTCATAAATAACCATGTAATGTCTATTATACGAAACATTGTAGCTCAGGCAATAAACACCCGCCTTACATAGTATGCCAGCAAACCAGTTTGATACCCGCCGGCGCTAAACGCTAATGCAATCGTTAATTATTGTTATTTTAAGTGCTGATTTACCACGGGCTAGGCGATGATGTCAACATTAGTGTCTGGTCTGACAAAAAGCACTGGAACAACTAAAAAAACTAAAACTTTCTCAGGAATAAAAAGAGGCATGTGCCTAGGTGTGGGACGTGTATGGACTTGCTATTTATTAGTTAGTTACTTTATTTAATTATAGAGTTTTAAAGGTTCTTAAATTTAGAGATGAGTTCTAGTATTTTTTTTTTTGAAATAAGTGAAGCTATAGCGTTGTAATCAAAAAAATGTTTTTGGCACATAGACAATCAATTTTGTGTATGTAACAGGCTGAGAAAATGTGCAAAATACAAATATTATATTTTTGACTGTGTAAAATATTCTTATTTTTTTTTAATAGTAAATTTTTTTTCGTTTTAGAAGACATTAAAGGAGGAGGAGGTTTTCTTCCATAGGAATATAATTTATGGATGTGTTAGTGATAAATCCTTATCACGTTGTCCGATTTCAATGAGTTGTTTTTGTTGAAGTTAGGGTATTTTTTACAGGTTATTTATAAATTTGGTCAAGATCTGATGATGTAGTCAATGAGAAAATTATCAAACTAAAAATTTACAAGGGTATCTGCACGACATATTGCCGAATAATTCTTTACCACGTCAACCGATTTCGACGGTTATATCCTTTTTAGTTCTTTCAAATATGTTTCACTTTCTAAAAATGTAATAATTCATCTAATTTTATTTGGGTTCACTGTGTATATCATGTTTTTTGGCTATACGTGGTCTGAGTAAGTTCATGTACTTTGGACTCTGCCTTTGTTGTATACATACGTATGTATTTATAACACGAAAGATATAGGCAGTGCAGTAATGATGTCAGCAATCTGTCTTAATCATCGAAAATGTCCGCTGAATATAATGTTCTTTATAAAGTATATAATATTTTTCATACACACATAATACATAATTATAGTGGGTTTTTATTATGGCCTTTGTTGAAGCAAATATATTAATTTGCTTTAAATAAATGATGGATGTTTTACTTGAGGTAAAGTCCGAGAACATCGCGATTATCGATTTCATACTTGATGGGTTTATGGGTTTATAACAAAATTAAAAAAGATGACACATAATGTCCTTGAACTGTATTTGACATTATTGTGACGTAAGTAATTTTTATAAGGAAACACTTGTATATATGGAGGTCAGTGAACACTATGGACTAAGAAAAAAACAATAGAGGTTCATTTTAAGCGGAACAATAAATATACGTGTTTTTGATACGAGATAAAACCCACGATTAAAAAAATATAGTCTGCACCACTAATCGTTGCGATCGGTACAACAATGATAACTAGTGACACAACTTTCACAAGAACGTCACATAGGAAATAATTAGAAAATTCAAAATTTCAGTCATATTTCTCCAGGAATAAAAACAGTACGGAATCGCTATACCTGCTCGGTGTCCCGTTGTTTTTCGATAGTATTAAACCTGTTTTAAATACACAATTTGATCAGCTTTTAAACGACTTTGATAAATTGTATAACTAAAACCCCACTTTGCACTTACTCTTTTAAAATAGTGTCTCCTTGTATTATTACGTATTTACTCCACTCCAGTCCAGTCTGGAAATGTTCGGATATTTTAAAAGATATTGATAATAAATATCTTAAAATAGCTATAGACAAAATTCTAAACTTAACTTTTAATACAACAGCCTGGACTCAAGCTACTTTACCTATAAAATTTGGTGGTATTGGTGTGAGAAATCTTTCTAGCGTTGCATTGCCTGCTTTGCTTGCTTCCGTGCAGTGTAAGTGACTTATCTATACTAATTAATATAATAAAGCGGAAGAATTTTTTTGTTTATTTAAACGCGCTAATCTCTGGAACTACTAGTCCGATTTGAAAAATTCTTTTTGTATATAATAGCTAGATTCATGAGGAATAGTATAGGCTATCTAGCATTAAGCTTTATCACTCAGCTAGCCTTAAATATGGATATTTGTTAAGCAAGTCAGAAGAAAAAGCACTCCCGAAATGATTTATCCGCGTACGCTGGTGTTATCGTTAGGGATACGTGAATACAATGTTCTAGAAAAATATAGATCTTTACTCCATCTAAAAAAAAGTCCGCGATACCAAATGTCTATTTCTTATACATAAGCCATAATTAGGTATTTTGTGACAAAAAATATTGAAAATTTAAAAGTGATTTATGAGCGTTATTATTAGGCCTATTTATCCTTACGAACGAAAGTTACTTCATCATCAAGACAATTTTATGAAAATAAACTTTGTTCTTTATACCATGTTATTTGGAAGCATAGTTTAAGAGATAATGTAAAATTAAAATAATACAATACTTGGCAGGGCGCGCGAACGACACATAAACCCTAGCCGCCCGGTGAGAACTACGAGAACTGCTCAACCGGGAGGGGGAGGGAAAGTGGATAAAACTTAACTTCGCTCTACATCATACATAATATGCCGACAGATAAAAGTACTCTATTAATTATGCCAATTTTTCCATCCATTGCTATCAAATAAAATATTTAATTGCAATTATAAAATGATAGAACAAGGTCATGTCGCGCACCTCTGACACGTGATGACGCGGGTGAAACCGCGGGGCACAGCTAGTGTAACATAATTTTAAATAATAAAGGAGAGCTGTGCTTTGCTACAGAGGCAGGGCAGACATTGTGAATGCTTTGTCCCGGCGGGAATAATCTACTGGAAGTTAACCTACAAACAGTGGGATATTCCGTTGGTACAGAGTGTGCAGAAAGATTTGTTTCATAATTTGCATAGTGACCAAAATCAGGCACGCCTTCTAGCTGTTTCGACTAAGGAATCTAGTTACTGGTTCCACGATTTACCATTAAGTAACTTCGGCACATTAATTGATGGGGAAAGCTTGTGCATCGCCGCAGGATCTAGGAGCGGGGATTTTTCAACCCCATCAGTACCCATGTGGTAGCAGCGTCAACGAGTTTGGGCTCTATGGTCTTTCATGTAAGAAACGGCACGGTTCTTTGGAACGATGTCACCATGAAGGGCTCTTGTTTCAATAAATGTTCCCCCGGTTTTAGAGCCTTGTGGGTGGAATATTTAGAGACGATGACAGGAGACCCGACGGTATATCATTGGTTCCTTGGGAGAGCTTGCGTAGACACTTTGGCGACCTCTTATGTTAGTGGTACCTTGTTTAGAGCTAGGGCAGCATCAGATGCAGTTGAACTGAGTAAGTGGCGCAAATATAAGTCTCTGAGAGATGACTAAAATATTTGTGCCATTTGCTGTAGAGGCACACTAAATCTAAACGTTAAGTTGGAGAGGCC